TTTTTTTTTTATTCTGTAATCCCAAATGCGGGAATTCTAGTATTACATTTTTTGCGTGTCCGTACTTTATTAATAAACTAATATTTTAAATTTTCTATTATTAATCCTTGGATTAAAAAATCAAAATTGAATTTATAACCCCAACATCGGGATTAAAAAAGAAAAAAGTGTTTATTCAAAAATTCACAACCTTGTTTTTGAAAAGTTCGATAAACGAATTTGGCTTGAAAAATATACCGTTATGCTGACTTTGTGCTGTTTATAATATATACTATGTTTTCTCGATTTTATCTTAAGATATCTAATATGTAGTATCTGACTGGGAATGCTTATATTAGTAAAATCAAAGAAAATCGAAAACTTCAAGTTTACATATTCTTTTATACATTCTCCTTTCAAATATTTAGTACTATTGAAAGAGTATAATAACCTATGCTATGAGTAGTTGAAATACCATCTCTCCGTAGAATACTCCCAAAACTTTAAAAAAGTAAATAGCAGATGTCAACCTCTTAAATTTTGTTGAAAATGGGACTTATAAATATCAAGATATAAACGATAGAGAGAGTAAATATATGGGTATGCGTATCCTTAGCATTCCTTTTAACTGAGAAAATATAAGTCACGACCCCATGAAAAACCAGTCAACCATACGAGACTTAGTTTGAAAGAAAAGGTTGTCGGTTAATATTCGACAAATGCGACAATGGACGGAAATGAAATAATAGGTTTTCGAATTATGAAAATGCCGAAAATATATACTTTGTTCAATAGTCACAAGTTATGAAATTTTAATAAATTTTGTCCTAAAATAAAATATGGTTTGATATTGTTTTGCATTTCTTTGAGTAGAACTTGACTTGAGACACAGAAAACGTCTCTGTTTTTAACCCTTAGTCAGGAGAAAGTGATCAAGATAATTTCCGAATTGAAGAAAATTTTTAAAATACTTTAAGGATTTAAAATTTTTCAAGCTTTATGTCAACCCCTACTACTTCACTACTCTTGTTCGATTTCCACCCGTCTTTCCAATATTAATTTTTGTGGTAATTTAGAACCATAGAGTTATTGCCGTAAGTTTCTTAACGTAGTACCTTTTTGAAAGTGAATCATCTGACTCTAAATATTGTATATGATTCATTAGAGAATCTGACAGATTTCATAGTCAATTGAATTATCGCCGCTGAAAAAAAGTTTACTTGTCCCGTCTTTGTACGAAATTTGGTGTAAGTTTGTATGCCCGTATATGTGTATGTAAGTTTGGCAAGCCTTTGTGGGATGTATCATTGGATTAAATAAACAGCACATTAACCTAGCTTTTGAAACAAATGTTTACACAACGTTGCTTTACAAGATTTGCCGCGTCATAACAAAAAACAGAAGCTTATAGCTTTTATGAATTTTATAAAAATATAATATATTGGCTATAAAACAAGTACGCGCATATTGAATTCATTACACGTTTCAAACTTGGCTGCAGGATGAGTAATGCGCCAACAACCCGCATATTCGCACATAATAAAGTGGCTCACCCCGATATTTCACTTCACGTACAGATATATTTACATGCACACATATTTCCATACGAGTATGCCCATAAAATTCGCAGATGTGAATATCCAACCTCGGTATTGTCTGATTGTGAGTCAGCGCAGCCAAGCAATAAACAAAGTCAGAGAATACCAATTGTTCCGTTCAATATGCTTTTTGCGGCTTTTCTTAACAACATAAACAAATGTAAATGGCAAATGTTGATTGAGATCAATTTTTTTCAAGCGAATAAAAACAATAAAACTTTACGTTGAATCTTGCGATTTCGTGAGTTTATTTATTTCCAAAATTAGCCAAAATTTAATAAACGAAATAATATTGGCAGCACTTCCTTCTCTTTGCTATTTTCTTTCACGACACTTCCCTCAGTGGTGGTTCTTGGTGCTTCAACGCGAAATTGTGGTTTATTTAAAGATCTTTGTGAGTCTAGATTAAGTGCACGAAAACGTGCAAATGGAAAGCTTACAATCGTCCCATTCGGGTAAATAAAAATCGGATAACCCCCAAATCCCGGATAACCACCGTAACCGGGGTAGCCACCAAAACCCGGATAACCGCCATAACCAGGATAGCCACCATAACCTGGATAACCGCCATAACCAGGATACCCACCATAACCAGAATATCCGCCATAACCAGGGTTACTGCCATAACCAGGGTTACCGCTATAACCAGGTTTACTGCCATAGCCAGGATAACCGCTAGAACTATAATCCCCGCCATAACCGTAATCTCCATCATAACCAGGATGATGGTGTCGTGGTGGGCTTGTAGTATATGGATTTTGTGTCGGCACAACTAACTGTAAATAAGGTTTACTGTCGCCATGATGAAATTTTGGTGTTGCAATCAAATTCTTCCGATGTTGCTCTAGTTCGGGTTTCCTCACAGCATTTTCACAACCTGTTGGCGGTTCCGATTTTAAATCCTTATTCTTGTCTGCAGTATTCTTGACATCCTCAGCTGCTATTGTAACGGTATCTGTGTCTGCTTCAGCCGATGATTTCACGGTTGTATTAACATTTTTCACCTGTTCAGTAAAATTTCCGCTATTTTCAATTGCTGCTGGTTCCGCCTCACTTAATTGACCCAAATCCTTCTTAACAACTGCGCGACCTTCTGCTAGGTCTGCATCTTCTTTCCTTAATGGATACTCCTGCTTAGTTACCACAAAGGCCACAGAAAGGACTGTCAGAAAAAGAAGACGTAAAAAAATATATACTTAATTAAAATAATATCTGAACTCACCCAAAAGTAGAAATGAAAGTGTGCTCCCATGCATCTTTCCGAAAATACACTACATTCTCCGAGAGCATTTCACACGCTTTTATACAAAAACCACTTAGTGGAAAATGATGATTTTTATGTAAATTCATATAAATTACTTAAAATCTTGAAACTAATGGCGTTTGATAAAATTGAACATATTTATGATGCTTTTCTCGAAAGGAATTCTAAATCTTTTCACTTTCCTTCACAATGCCGATCATGCTGAAATACCATAGAACTTTTCAAATCTTAGAACACATTTTCTTTTTAGTTTAACATATTAACTTCCAGAGCACGACTACATTACCATACAAATTGATTTTCGATTAAGTGCTGACCGTTCCCTCTTCAATGGAGAGAACAATACTTATGCAGAGATAGGCAAATACTCTCATGCTGCATACTTCTTAAAGTTGAAGATCGTTTATTAACCAAATTAGACTCACAATTTGATGGACACTTTAGATCAATTTGGGATTAGCAATATAAGAAGAGCTAAACTCGAACCAACTCATATAAATAACAAAGCGAGTTTGAAGCTTTGCTATATACATATTTCGGCGCCACCGTATAACTGACGATCTGTTAGAAACTTTTAAAAAGGTTTTTGATTTGAATTTTCACTACGAACGACCGCTATAGACACGATCCATTTATTGACGATCGTGCAATCAACAGCAATCAAGCTGATCCGACTGAAAATAGGCAAGTATCCACAAAAATATGGTGAACTAGCGAACAAAATAATAGAAACCCTCGTATCTGTTGTCAAAAAATTGAGGTAATTGATTATCAGGCTTCCCCTGAGGCGAATTTTTCACAGCGAAATAATTTGCCAAAGACAGGAACAGGTAGTAATCATATGGTGCTAGGTCCGGACTATAAAGTGTATGCATAAGACCCTCCTAACCAAGTTCTCGGAGCTTTTGACGAGACACTATCGATGTGTGTGGCCTGGCGTTGTCCTGATGGAACACAATTCAATCCCTATTGACCAAAGCTGGTCGCTTCTCGGCGATTATTTCCTTCTGACGGTCCAATTTTTGACAGTACAGGTCTGATCTAAGAATTTGGCCTTAGAGAAGCAACTTATAGTAGATGATTCACAGAACACATAGGAAAATCTTCCGGCGTGGCATAGTTCGACGTTCGTTTAGTTTTCACTATTTTAACTACCAAAATGTGTACCAAGTGGTCTTTACCTTGAACTATCTTGAACTACGTTGAACTTACGGGTATGAAAGAAGTACATATAGTATAAAAAAATTGCCATGCAAATATTATCTACTAATACTTGATTTATAATAACCGCTATTTTATCTCTTTATAGGATTTTGCAGTAGGACACTCTAGAAGGTAAGTGTTACTTGATAGTTAATTATAAATATATTGTAACCTTTATGTATATGAAACTTTTTATTGAGATACCTTTAACTTTATTTTATTTAAAAAAATCTAAGTCTTAGAATTAATCTAAGTCTTAGCTTAATTGCTGTTGATATAAAAATGTAAATGATTTTTATTATTCTTATTATGTTATTTAAAAATATTATATATAATGTTCATTTAACGCTACAGAGAATATTGATGTATATCTGCATTTACTACTTCTTCTACATGTTTTACTGTCATTATATAAATGTTCTTAAATTTCTATTAATACAAAAAACATCTGCGCATACATATATTTGCCGTTCCTTTACAAGGAAAATTTGCTTTATTCCTGCTTAGAGTGATGTAGTTTGTTGAATTCGCTTATCATGAGGGGAAGGTACCTTTTTGATGTGGTGTAATTGAGCTTTCGAATTTGCGCATTTTCGATGTTCCCTTTTAATGGTTTACATTTTAACAGATAACGTAAATGAATATTTGAATTCATTAACATTCTCTGTTAATATTCTCTGTCTGCAGAAAATGTCGTTCCTAAAATTTGCGCCTAGATGTAGGCAATGAAATTATAAAATATCGCGATCGTAGTGATATCAGAAAACATACACACATCGATAAATTAACTGATCAGGTATTTGATAGATTTGATTACTTTAATGTATGTATGTATTTGAATATCACGATAAGATTATTATAATCAGACATTGTCAAGTCAGTTTTTAGTTTTAATACGGTAATTCTACTACTGTAGAATTGGCTACTCAATAAGCCAACATTCATGTATTGATAAGATAGTCTATACATTTTATTACGGTTATAATCGACTGCATCTTTGCTATCATTCGCTTCTTTATGCAAGGAAATTAAGTGATGTATTGGAAGACGTTTTTAAAAAGCTTTTGGGAGTGGATTTATTAACTTTTTGAGTAATTCCTTCTTCCTCCAACCTCTACAAGTACTAATGCTGTATATTTTCTGTATTTTTTTTTCTCTTGAATACTGTCATCAACTTGTATGTATATAACAAATCATATAAGTATTTAAGTATGTAACTGCGTATTCGAAAGCCTTTGTGATCTGTCTCATTTTGTCTTTTATTGTAAATAAACGCTGATTACATCATGGGAATTGTTCCAGTTTTGTTTTATATGAAAATAAGTAACTCTTAATCTCGGAATTCAATGAAAACGTTGACGAATCGATTATAAATATTGACTTATATAATGTCGATGTTCCAATTTTGTGAAATACTGTTATATTTTAATAAACGTATTTATAATTTAAATATGTACACACCCCAATTTTAGGACATTATTCATACTACATTCTATAACGAGTAAATTTTATAGTCTATACTATGCCCAAGAGCGATGGCGAGGCTAAATCATAAATGATAGAAATGTTCCAGCTACGGCCGTTACTCAGCAGACAAACTCAAACACCGTAGTTTAGTTTTCCGTTGATAAAACTTCTCATAAATTACAGTGCTAACTGGTTATCAAGTAAATTAATACTTTTAACACTTCAAATTTTCTTATTCGGCTATTAATACAGCACAAACTGTATGGAAAAATTCACTAGTGGATTGGGCACTTTAATACCACCTGGCGCCTGGCTAATATTAGCTTAAGAGCGGCCGCTCAAGCGTTTTTTTTCACTTTGCACATACAACCATCCACCCAAAGGATAACTCAGTATATAAAAAACCCATTGACAAAAAAGACAAAAAGTTAGATATTAACAAGTTATTAGTAAGGTAAATATACAAAATTTTATTATCAAATAAATAAGAGGTGTATTTATAAAATAAAGGTAATTTTAAAATTATAATTTCTTGGGTTTGGAAAGCGCATTGTCAAAAAAAAATTTGATATACATGCTCCTGAAGTACGAAAAAATTTTCACTACTCTTCGTAAGCTATGAGTCTATAGCCGCTAAAGTTAGACGAGTTTTTGAGCTTGGCGATTTTCGTTTGCTAAATTTGAAATGGATTAAAATATTTGTTAGTGAATTTTTGGCCAAAAACAATACTTTAACGATACCCCAGCCTCCATATTCGCCAGACAGGGCTCCGTGTAACTTTTTCCTATTTCCAAAAATTAAAGAGAACCTTAACGGGTCGTCTTTTTACAAGCTGATGACATTAAAAGAGCATGGCTGAAAGAACTGAAGGCTATTCCAAAAATTTAGTTTGAGAAGTGTTTTAACGATTCGAAGAAGAGCTGCCATAAGAGATTAATATCAAATGGGGTCTATTTTGAGGGCGGCAACCTTTATGTGAATGAATAAATAAAATTCATTTTATTTTTTAAACATACTTTGTTTGTCTTGTAGTACAAGTAGTAGTAGTGATTTAAACGAAATCTCTTTCTGTAGCATTTATAGATTTTAAGCATTATTAGGATGAATTCGAGAGCTGTTTGGCCTTCGAAGTTTTCAAAGTAAATCAGACCATAAAAGTAAACAAAGGCAACTTGTAATGAACCGTAGCTTTGCGAAGTTTCTGATTAGAGACTGCACTATTGCTGATTTAATCTTAAATCCAAAAATTCTACCGACCTTGTTTGCATGCTTGTATGGAAAGTCTGTCGAAACTTATTTCACTGTTTTACTCTTGAGGCACTACATACATATGTAGCTGCTAAGTCGTTTGTGCGTGACGTCAACTTCGTATACTTTCTCATTTGTGTTAAAAAAAAAATCACAAAATAAAAAACTAAAAAAAAACTAAAATATTACTAAACATAACAATTTAAAATTCATATTGAATGATTCACTTTTGAAATATGCCAATATGCATCTGTACATTTATACATATTATTTTCATATTTAAATGTTGTACATACGAGGAACGTCCGATAATTCCTTAGCCTAAGCTCTATTGGAAGAGATAGCCGATCTATTGTCATTTAGTATATGATTGTAGACAGCTGCTGTCAAACTTTAGCCGAATCGAACCCGTATTTTAAAAGTTGTTATATACGCGGATTTTAAAAAAATTAAAAAGGAGCCAAATCGATAGTTGATACGATTTTGGTTTTTTGAAAGGAAATCCGGCAGTGAAATCAGAGATTGCTTAGATGAAAATAATTAACTCGGAACATAATCTGACAATAGTTCACGATCTGATATTGGCAGACTGACAATTGAAGATAGCTGAGATAGTTGTTATCTCAAAGGACCGTGTCGGTCATATGCTGAATAAAATATGGAACCACTAGTATCCACTAGAGACCAAGGTCTGCAAGCCAGTTTTATGTCTTAATTTAGTACTTAGTTATGGCACTTTAAAGATTTGCGATTAATGGCGTTTTGTGGGTGTGACATTGGTTGATTACGCCCGTTAGGTGAACAAAACTATTATACTCATGTAACCAGTTGCAAAAGTATAAAAAAGCTAAGGCATCAATGGGACAAATATGCCGAGCTAAAAGGAGACTATATTGAGTAAACAATCGCTGTTTTACGAAAAATTTCGTTATTATATCGTAGACTAGGTACTCATCGGTTTGCCCTCTTACATCTATTATCAGTAAATATTATAATTAAGCTAAATACTTTGCTCATATTATATTTCAGATGAATTAACGTAGAACCCATTTAGTTGATCAACCAATTTGTACT